TATAGCTTTTAGCTAGTTTACCTTCCATGCTTCTAGTAGTAATTAAAAGAAAACCCAAAAATACTTCTCGTTCTTCTTTTGCTTGTTGGGAGCTTTCCCGTGTAAATAGTTTTATTTCTTTTCTTTTCTTTGGGGGTCGAGAGGAGAAGACCATAATGAAAATGTTGAGTGGCTCTCATATGCATTATTGTTGATTTAACCAAGAGCCCATATTACCTTGTCTTCTCCCTTGTATTAAATGCTTGCAGATTCCAGCTTAGTCCAATGCACGTGCACTATTATTATTATCCACGCCATTCGGTCGTACAAGTGAAAGGCAATAATGATGATATATGATGGACTGATTGAGATGAGAGAAGCTGGTATGAACTCGACCTCTCTTCTTTTTTGTAAATATGATTAGTTCATCGTTCCTGATTTAGCCTATTATGAATAAACATGTTTGCAATGACAATTAGAGATTATAGTTGTTCATGCCATGCTTAATTAGCTAGGAGTTTATAATGGTTTACCTTGCGTGCGAACATGCTATCAAAATGGTTGTGATGTGGTATGATAGGGTGGTATCCTCCTTTGAACGATTCGAGTGACTCGACTTGGCACATGTTCACGCATGTAGTTGAAACAAAACCAACATAGCCTCCACGATATTTATGTTCATGGTGGATTATATCCTACTCATGCTTGCACTCAATGTCTATTAATTTCAATGCATGTTCATGACTGTTGTCGCTCTCTAGTTGGTCGCTTCCCAGTCTTTTTCTAGCCTTCTCTTGTACTAAGAGGGAATACTGCTTGTGCATCCGACATCCATAAATCCCAAAGTTATTCCATAAGAGTCCACCATACCTTCCTATATGCGGTATCTACCTGCCGTTCCAAGTAAATTTGTATGTGCCAAACTCCAAACCTTCAAATGAAGTTCCGTTTTGTATGCTCGAATAGCTCATGTATCAACTAGGGTTGTCTATATCTTCCATGCTAGGTGGGTTATTCTCACGAGGAGTGGACTCCGCTCCTCACTTACGAGAAAATGGCTGGTCACCGGGATGCCCAGTCCCATGCTCAAATCAAATCAAAATAATTGCAAACAAAACTCCCCCAGGATTGTTGTTAGGTGCAGGCACCCGTTGTTTTGGGCAAGCCATGGATTGATGATTGTTGGAGGTGGGGGAGTATAAACTTTACCATTCTGTTTGGGAACCGCCTATAATGTGTGTAGCATGGAAGATATCGAGATCTCTTGATTGTTATGTTGACAATGAAAGTATACCACTCAAAATATTATTTATCTCTATTTCAAACTCGAGCTCTGGCACCTCTACAAATCCCTGCTTCCCTCGGTGAAGGGCCTACCTATTTACTTTTATGTTGAGTCATCCTCCTCTTATTAAAAAAGCACTAGTTGGAGAGCACCGCTGTCATTTGCATCCATTACTATTAATTTATATTGAGTATGTCTATGACTGGATCTCTTTTACCATGAATTACAATGTCCAGTTAGTCCTTGATCCTTAGGAGTGCTCTGTATTTATGTTTTGTGGTCTCAGAAAGGGCTAGCAAGATACCATCTTGTTATATCATATTATGATTGTTTTGAGAAAGTGTTATCATCCGAGATTTATTATTATTGCTTGCTAGTTGATTATGCCATTGATATGAGTAAACATGAGACCTAAATGTTATTGTGAATGTGATTAGTTCATAATCTTTGCTGAAAACTTGAATGCTGGCTTTACATATTTGCAACAACAAGAGCAAACAGAGTTTGTAAAAGTTTTTCTTTATCACTTTCAGTTTGTCAACTGAATTGCTTGAGGACAAGCAAAGGTTTAAGCTTGGGGGAGTTGATACGTCTCCATCATATCTACTTTTCCAAACACTTTTACCCTTGTTTTGGACTCTAACTTGCATGATTTGAATGGAACTAACCCGGACTAACGCTGTTTTCAGCAGAATTGCCATGGTGTTATTTTTGTGTAGAAATAAAATTTCTCCGAATGACCTGAAACTCCACGGAGAATATTTTTGGAATTAATAAAAAATACTGGCAAAAGAATCAAGACCAGGGGGCCCACACCCTGTCCCCGAGGGTGGGGGCGCGCCCCCCTGTCTCGTGGCCCCCTGGGGCTCCACCGACCTCAACTCCAACTTTATATATTCACATTCGGGGAGACAAAAATCAGGGAGAAGGATTCATCGCGTTTTACGATACGGAGCCGCCGCCAACCCTAATCTCTCTCGGGAGGGCTGATCTAGAGTCCGTTTGGGGCTCCAGAGAGGGGAATCCGTTGTCGTCATCATCATCAACCATCCTCCATCACCAATTTCATGATGCTCACTGTCGTGCGTGAGTAATTCCATCATAGGCTTGCTGGACGGTGATGGGTTGGATGAGATTTACCATGTAATCAAGTTAGTTTTGTTAGGGTTTGATCCCTAGTATCCATTATGTTCTGAGATTGATGTTGCTATGATTTTGCTATGCTTAATGCTTGTCACTAGGGCCCGAGTGCCATGATTTCAGATGTGAACCTATTATGTTTTCATGAATATATGTGAGTTCTTGATCCTATCTTGCAAGTCTATAGTCACCTATTATGTGTTATGATCTGTTAACCCCGAAGTGACAATAATTGGGATACTTACCGGTGATGACCGTAGTTTGAGGAGTTCATGTATTCACTAAGTGTAAATTCTTTGGTCTGGTATACTACTACCACGGTAGGGTAGGACAAAAGATGTCATGCAAGTTCTTTTCCATAAGCACGTATGACTATATTTGAAATACATGCCTACATTACATTGATGAACTGGAGCTAGTTTTGTGTCACCCTATGTTATAACTATTGCATGAGGAATCGCATCCGACATAATTATCCATCACTGATCCAATGCCTACGAGCTTTTCACATATTGATCTTTGCTTAGTTACTTTACCGTTGCCACTGTTACAATTACTACAAAACTGCTACTATTACTTTTGCCACTGTTACCGTTATTTCCATATTACTTTGCTACTAAATACTTTGCTGCAGATATTAAGTTTTCCAAGTGTGGTTGAATTGACAACTCAACTGCTAATACTTGAGAATATTCTTTGGCTCCTCTTGTGTCGAATCAATAAATTTGGGTTGAATACTCTACCCTCGAAAACTGTTGCGATCCCCTATACTTGTGGGTTATCACTTCGTTAGTCACATGCTCAAAAATGCCACTTGACACCATAATATTGATCTCAAATCTCTTTTTTCAAGTTATAATGACATAAATACCTATGGACCAACATGCCATCTCTCCCTCCATCTCACTACAATAAAGTGTGGGACCTACTTGATCCCAACAATGTTCTTATTTTCCTGTAGAATTATTCCCTTGGTTACTCCTGGCAAGTGGGGCCACACTTATCATTGTGAGATAGAGAGAACCGACATATGGGTCTAGGCTTATTTTTGTTATATAATATGGTCAACGGTTTTGACGTGAAAATAACAATGTCTAATGGAATTTTTGAGCAAACATCTAACGGAATGATGGCATTTTTGAGACATCTAATGACATTTTTGAGCAAGCATCTCATGGATCGATGGCATTTTTGAGTAGTTGTATCTTCTAATAGCAAAATTGAGTAGCGAAACACAACTAGTGGCATAAATGATAAAAACCCAAAGAAGAAAATCCTATTCTTACGTAAAGCTTTTATAAAACATGTACGCACTTGTGTATTTCCTTTTTCTTTGCAGAAAGATCAAATCTATTATAAAAGTTCATCGCAAACCAACCTGTGGTTGGGTGGTTATAGGGATGGTGGTATCCCAAGCCACCAGGGTTCAAGTCCTGATGCTCACATTATTCCTGGATTTATTTATCCTCGGCCCACCAGGATTCAAGTCCTAGACTTGACACTAGTGCTTGCATTTTTTCTGAACTTATTTCAGGCCTTCTGGCAATGTGCATTCAGTGGGAGGAGACATCCCCGTCGATGAGACTTTATCAATCTCAAGATGATGTGCTAGTCCAGTCTCCCTGCGGTGCTCATATGGGTAGGCTGGCATATGGATTCTCCATGTTTCTTAGGTCGGTTAGGATTCCTGTAAATCATAGACCCCTGACACCTTTATAATCAAGGGGAGGGCTAGTCCATAAACATCTTACAATCTATCACTCGATACATGCTTGCACCTTGTACACCCCTATCATCACACAATACAATACGAGCATGATTAGGGCTTTACCTCCACTTCGAGGCCCCAAACCTATGTGAGCTAGTTTCAACCCTCTATCGAGGGGTCTTTCGGAGTTTACACTGATATAGATGCTTATAGGAGAAATTGTCACTTTGTTATGCAGCTTTTGATACAAGTCTTCTACGAAAACCATAGTGTCGCCTTAAAGTCACAGTCATAATAAATGATAAAATTTATATATGAATATATTATGCATCAAGTGGTGAATGCATGGCTTATAGGAAAATCATATATTTTTTCATGTACTTTTTGATACAAATGCTCCATGAAAACCATATGGCACTCTTTGCGGCAATGTTATCTTAGCAATAGGATCATACTCAAATGTTTGTGTGTTGATGATGTGCACCTACATAATGAGAAGAACAGTATTAAATATTTACTATGGCCATGAAGGTAGCATACACTTTCCTGTCAGTATTCAATCTTTTCTAAAATTGATAATATGTTTCCTTCGGTCCCAATTTTTGTTTCTGAAGTATTTGACTCTTGGTGATAATTGTATGTGTTAAGGTGTTAAGCAAAAATATAGAGTAAATAGGTTCAACATTTGTTGAAACACCTCTAATATCTATGCTCGTAGCTAAATGATCGGATGCCTATCATTACAAAGCATCGAATGTGCTAGTTTCCATAAAACAATAATTTCTACATGGACATTATAGTAGAATAGCACTAGAATGTTGAATCTAATGAAAACTTACTTTTGATTTATTTGTCCCCTCATCATGCACAAACGAAACTATCCAACCGTCATCTTCGTTTGTACCATTGACCTTTTGGCACAAAAGTTGCCCCAGAGCAGAATTGATTTCTAGCAAGGTGATGATACTTAACCTTTATGTGGTCCTCTTGGCCTTTGTTCTTTAAGAGTTCTGGATTGGAAGTTAATTTCATTTGAATATAGTAATTTCAAATGATGGTCCAAAATGAATAGCTTGTTTGTATATATCATAATTACCTTGGTGGTTGCATCCTCTTTCTCATGAAGACAAAATTTTGCAAAACCTCCGAATTTCGGTCGTACTACATGATTGAGAATAATATTAAACTATATTGCATAAAGTTTGCATGTGATGGACATTTTGGTTGAATAACATTGCATTGTGACTAATAGATGACATTTATTGTATTGACCCCACACTATTGGTCCATATTATCTCTAGTTTTTATTCAGCAATGGTCTTTCATCTAATTAAAGCAAACAAGGCCCGAGTTGATTTAGTTTGGTTGTATTATTGGCCTTCCAGTTTCTTCATCTAGGAATATAGCTATGAAATATTTTCATGACAATATACTCATACAATCTATGTGCCCACTTTGAAGATTCAGAAAGGTAGAGTCAAAACACTTCTCTTCCATGATCCTAGGACAATATTTGCTTTTGACTAGAGAGACAGATGCACTTCACCTATCTATGTTGATAATTTAAAAGTTTGATGTGGCCAAATCAGTGTAGGGTGACTACCTTATTCATGTTTTGTATTTGTTCTATATAGTTTAGTTGTGTAAAGAGAAAAAAATATCATCTGTTTCATGTATTAATATATTTTAAAATTAATCGGGTCATATCCTTCGGTTTCTCATATATGATGCCACATTTAAGAATGGATGGAGTGTCAAAGAAATATTGTGGGAATTACATTCAAGATTTCATGGCCAACTAATATTTGTCTTCACATGTTGGATTTATGGCTCATCATGGGAAATGTGATACCTTGGGTAGTCAACTGCCATAACCATTTATTATTCTACACCCATTGTGCCTGAATGGCATCCAAATTAGCATGTGTTTTTTGACAAGTCTCTGTGTAAGTTAGGACAAGTGACTGATGTATGGACAATAACCACTATTTTATATCTATTTCTCAAGTTTGAATGGAAGTTCCATATATTAAGTAATGTACTGATGTATGTTTAGCAATACCTATTCCTGGACCACCTGCCAAATTTGCAGGAGAATCTGCCACTTGAGCATATGCGTACTTGTGAGGCAAGCCAACATATTTGTCATTCATTACTGGGAATTCCAGGGCAACCTCTTTTCCAGTTAAGTATTTGCCTACAACTGCCCTTGTTTTCAAGTTCAGTCTCCACTCATACAAGCGAGAAAAACATTCCTCGGTTAGTCCTTGATTGCATTTGATCCTTGGCCCCAAAATGATAGAACCTGGCACATGAAATCCCCTCACAACGACCTATTAAATCATTAGACAAGGAAAAATTATAGCATGGATGAAATATCCATTAATATTTAGATAGACATATGTTGTAGAGGTGTTGCAACCAGCCATATGACACATTCGAAGGGGAAAACCATGGGTGAATCATGGGCAAGGGTGGCATGATTTGGGAACAACCACTGTGGCTAGTGTGCGGGAGGGGATATGGTTTTGAGGTAGGATTCACCTTTTGTTCTTTCTTGATTGCTTGATAAAAGAAATACATATTAGTTTAGTAGTTCTAGTACCACTATATGGGACGGGTCAACTTGATCCAAAAACCAAGTTAACTTACTAATTAAAAATGATTGTTTCCTAAGGCCATGTACGTGTACAATGGCTGATAATATGATATTTTATTATGCATTCCACTCCACCTATAGAAGTTAAACGAACGTGTTATACAATTGAGTATCTTTTTCTCTTATCTTGAGTAATTAATGTTTGCATGCTCCTAAAATTGTAGGATCATTAAAGTTAAACTAGAAACCATGTAATTGATGGAAGACATATCGTACAAAGTATACAAATGTCATGTCTTTATTACTGGGGAATCATCTCTTAGCAAAGATAAGGCAAGCCGCTTTTTCCATCTCTTTCTCTTCTAATTCAGCAATCATCATACATGGCATTCCTAAGATAACACCATTATATGTGCCAATATTACTCCAAAAATAAAGCAATAAATTAATAAGGAAACTTGTCTCTTAGCCTCTTGTTGCGGGGGCTCTAGTACCACCAGCTATTTGTGGCCTAGCCGGCATCCCATGATAATTATGGGGTACTCGTACCTTTCACTTATCTTAGAAAATTTTGATTCAGGCATTTTTTCCTTAATAGGAAATAATAACGACTAACTTGGGTTCAATCAAGGTTGTCCTATTTTAAAGGAGGTGTAGTTGTTTGAGTAAAAAAATCAGGAAAAGAAGTTTCCCCTAAAGTATTTCTCATTCTCAAAGTAATTCTGGACTAACTTGACGTCTAATTTTAAAGGAGTTTTAATTGTTGGAGTCAAATAAACACAAAAAAAGAAGCCTCCCACTAAAGTCTTTGTTGGACAATGTCACCTATATCATGTCTCATACTACAAGCCTTCATTTACCTTTGTTGTCTCGAGCGCTCCCATAGGAGGTTGGATCTCAACTTCCGTCCAAGAATTGGTTCAGTTTGTGCCCAATATGTACCTTACCAATTTTGTAGCTCGGACCAAAACATTGATCGTTGTTTGGATGGTTCCCAACCTTTGTCATGCTAATGGATATTTACCAACTAACTACATTTGGACAACTCTTGTACGCAGAAACCTTGTCAAACATGTTTTTCTAGTCAAACATATGGTGGGGCAGCCTTAGGAAAGGACGAAGCACATACTACGATCCTGAAACTCTACCATTATGATGTTTTCTCCCCTTTTGGGATTTAGCATGTTGTTGATAGTGACATCCCAACATGATATCATTAAGGGATTTGACAAACATGTAGGCCTCATTGATTCGAATGTTTTTGTAGGATTTCAATAGTTAGAAAGTTTCCTGATGGGGTTTGTTTGATTCCTAGGATTAGAATCCATCTCAATGTTTCCTATGGGTCACTTTGTACTATATTCCAAATGAAAAATTTCATTGAGTCTAGACTCTTGGAAATTGAATTTATATCTATGACAACTATAACATGCACCTACCGCTCAATTTTTTTGCATGTTTTCCTTTTGGTTCAATCAAAGAACTTCCATTCCTTATTCATATGTTTTCAATTCTTGTAGGAAACAACATGTATTGGCATCCAATTCCCACATTTTTGTAGTCATGACTTTTGGGTATTCCTTGAATCAAATAGGTTCATAACTTCTTGATCATTGAGGGATCTATGGTATGTAGTAAATAGAAACCAAGTGTTCCTTTAGGGTGAGAAAATGAAAGAGATATTTAAGACTATAGTAGACTTGTGTCTACCTTAATATACATCATCATAAAGTATATTGTGATGCCTTTACATCTACATGAAGTATATTGTGATTGCTTATATATTTGTACCTCATCTTCTTCTTCAAAGCAGTTGACAAGATGGATCGTGCAAAATGGTTGTACGTAAAACCATGCTATCGAGTTTGCATCACCATAACGGGGCATGACACCTATTCTTGCATAGCTATCCTTTTCGAATTCAATCAGCCTATATGAGGGACATATAAATGATAAATTAGACACTTGATAATATTTTTGGATTCAAGACGAATTTTGTTATTAGTACTTACGGAGCACCTTTGAGCAACCTTTCCTTGTTGATTGTAAGTGGAGAATCTAAAATAATGTTGTACCTACACTCACAAGTTGATATTTGATTCCATCAATTTTTTTTGTTGGCATGACTAATGTAATGTACCAGAAATTGCATCTTCTTTTGCTAAATCCTCGACTGTCTTTATGCACACGAATCTTTCTTTTGGTGAATATATCATGTAAGACAACCAATAAATTATAAATAATTTGTTCACGTATAAATATAAATGAGGAATTTATCCACCATTCGCTAATATGTATATTGTTTATGACATTCTTATCCATGCGCAAAAGTTTAAGCCCAAAAACCCATTCCAAAAATTTATGTCCCAAAAACTTTTCCACACTCATGTTTTGCATGGGAAACTATTTTATAGGCAATATTTCTTCTAGGACGTGAACGAACCAATAAATCCATAAATCATTTTCCCTCGCGGTGGCTCCTACCCAATGTGCATCCTCCGACTCAATCTGTATCCCCCGCCCCTCCTAGTGTAAGCTATCCGAACTTCTAAATTTTAAAATTGACCTATGGGTGTGCCGCTTCATATCTTGCAATAGCTCTCCCATATGTTCAGAAGTTATGCAAATGCAACAATGTCTTCTTTCTTGTTTTTTATCTCCGCAATGTTGCAAATGCATTGGTTGTATGTTACTAATCACAATCCAATGCAGTTGCATCCATTTTAAAAGTTTCCATTTGTTTCTATGTGTTTGAGGTTTAATTTGTGCAATTTGACATTATTGTGTGTAGAAGGGCTTGAAATATGGACAATTTCATGGTGATGTAATGTTGAATGATGACAAAACTATATTATATGATATTGCCTTCTCGATGATAAATGAGAGTATCGAAGTGGATGAGCAGATGTGGTTGATATTGAGTCTCCAACAATCAAGAAGAAGCATTCAAGATTTTCCAGTTACAAAGTAGAGGAGGACGAGAAATTCTATATGCATGTATGAGTGCCTCCCTTGATGCCTCTATTTTCACTGAACAAATCAAAGACACATTTAGATGAGGATTCGGGAGTACTATCACCAAACTGTGAAAGGTGAGTCCAATAGAACAGAAATTTCAGTACCACAGTGTTTAGGTACAATTAAAGATTGTTGGAACTAGTGCTTGGGTCATGTTGATCAAGTGGGTTGTATACCTCCAAGTGATGTGGCACTTAATGTGCATCAAACATGTACTCAAGAATTATACAAGAAATGGAACACGAGGAAGCAACAAAAGCCCTTTACTTTCTCACATTATGGGGATATTCAAAGAAATGAGAAATGGCATGTGATGATACTTGGAAGGCAACACAAATGAGGTCAAGATTGATCATATAATGTTCTATATTTAGGAGGAAGTGAGGGTGTTGATGAGGATATGATAAGAAATCCTAGTCCTAGATCTTGTCCAGATGGGAGGAAAAAAAGAGGGAGAGGAGAAGTAATGGTGTAGAGATGGGATTTACATGGAAACACTCAAATGAATGGTAGAGGCAAGGAATGAGTTAGTCACCAAAAGGAAGCACATGAAGTTGTCAAGGTGGGTGGTGCTCAAAGAGAATCAAGGTTATTTCTATGGCACAAATGAGAAGACTGAGGAGAGGAATGCAAGTGTGGATGACCATATGCTTGCTATTGAGGAGGGGGTTCAAGCATGAGTCCGAGAAAGAAATAAACAAGAGGAAGGAGCAAGAGAAAACGGTCATGTTCGTGATGGATGAAAATGAAATACACCGTTGGGACTCACCCGTGCTGAGATTTTGGCTTCCAGAATACCAAGATAAATGTTATATGGTAGTGGTTGTCGCATTGGGAGGGGGGCGGGTGATGTGATTTGATTTATGAACTATGTTGCATGTGGTCGCTTTTGGGTGAACCATGTAGTGTGATGAGAATTATGCTTTATATTGTTGCTTTTGGTAGGATTGCTGAGAAAATTGTGGTTTGAATTTGAATAACAAAATGAACTTTAAATGTTGTTAAAACATATGCATTAGAAATATAAAGTTTTAAATAAATATTTTATCAAAATGAGATTTATGTACGCAAAATGATGTCAAAAATATCAAGGAAATTACCAGTGGGAATTAAGCTTAAGTAATGGATTAGATGCCCATGAATTTTTGGAATTAGGTTTTGGAAATGAGTTTTTCGGAAATAAGTTTTTGGATGGGTTAGAGTTACCCTCAAGGTGTTATGCCACTCGGGCACTTTTTTGTCTTTGAAGTGAGTTGTACCACGAATATTCATTTCTGAACTCGGGCTCATCTGCTCTGGTGAACAGTAAAATAAAAAATATATTAGAAGAATATGAAAAAACTGGAATTCTTTTGTCAACTAAGGCGCTCAAATGCGTTATGTCCGTGCAAAGTTTGATCTTGTTTGGACATCTGAGGAGCTCGTGGCAAAAAAGACAAAATCGGCCCGGAACAGTGCGTGAATAGTAAGTTTTCTCACATACCCTAATGCTTTTTTTGCTGAGAGCTACTGAGATGTCCAAACACCACCAAATTTGGCACGAACATCACGCACTCGAACATTTTCCATGATACAAAATTCAGTTTTATTTTTATTTTTGTAGTATTTTTTTGATTTTACTGGTCTTCCAAGGGAGTAGATGAACTTGGGAGCGAAATTGTTGTGTCCGTTGTACGAGGCCTTTGTCAAAGCTTGTTCAAGTTTCTCTACCTTTCCAATCAAATAAAGAAACACAAAGCTCCTATGATTTTCTCGGAAAAAAAGGAATGGCCAATAAACTCTAGGAGAAGGGAGCCACCCTAAAGACCTCACCATACTAGTATAACTTATTATTATATTAATTTTCATTGGGAAATAGCTTCAATGAATTATTTTGATGTGCAACAACGTCCGCTAAAGTTCACTGGATGCTATTTTATCATGTTACCCTTTGCAACTTTCTTAATATTAAATGGAATAATTTACAAAATGTTAAATAAAATTATATTTTCTCTATGGAAAATTAAAAAAAATCTTGAGTAATCATCACACTAGTGAATCTTCTGTCATGGAAAAACTTACATTGTAGTGACTCCTATTTCATGACAATATGTGCATCTGTCTAACTCGAGAGCAACCTTCTGCTGTAGTTTGTTCCCGTCGGCTACAGATGGAGTATGGAATCAAATTCTGAGCTGATTTCTATTAATCACATAGAACATGCAACAGATTTATAAATAGTGATACCTGAGACAACTCCAACCGTTAGAAAAGGCGCATCCAGGTTGAACCCGAAGATGACCAACTCTCCTGTTCCAGGGATTACCTATTCTCATAGACAACATCGATGACTTAAAAAAAACATGGAAACGATGAAGCAATTAACTACACTAATTTTTTTTATCATCCTAAGTCCTACATGTCAAAATACTCTAGGTTCAATTAGGAGTCACGGACTTCATAAAAGACACTGAAATTTTGACATAAATGGATCTTGGAATTGTCTTTGTCTTGGCTGAATCCACCTACACTTTTGTTCGTAGATTCAAATAATGCTTCTCACACTGCAAATCACACAATGAAAATTTTGGCACTGGGGATGAGCTATTTCAATGGCATTTTCGGCGCTTTGAGTTGCAACAAACATTTGCATAACACTTGCCAGAGTGTTGCTTGGATAAAGAAATGGTGCTCAGATTAAAATTTAGTAGATTATGTATGTTATGTATGAGGTTGTCTTATATCATAAGTTTGTAACAAGTAATTTGTTAGCAGAGCATGAAACATAGGGCAATAGCTCAACAGATTCAGTGGCGGGTGAGTTGTCTGAATTCCACTGGTTCCAAAATTATCATTACGATTCCACTCGGTAATAATATTGTTGGTGTTGTGATTCATCTAATATCGCTTTTGCATAGCTTCTAATTTCTTTTATTCATACTTTATAGTGGATGACTATGTTAGGATTGTGCTAGTGAACGAGCGCATGTTATTTTGTCGTGGATTTCCGCCGATGCTACTATAAGATGAGTGCAGATGTGGTCATGTTCCCTTATCACGAGAGACATAGTTCAGATCCATGAGCAAGACTTCAGTTTAAGTACCAACTCAACATGATAAATTCTCCAAAAAGAACTAGTGTAATCTGGTAATCAAACTAAAAATGTCTTAGAAGCAGTATTAATATGAATTGTACCATTTTTAAATTATAGTACATATAAAATTTGGTGCTGATTTAAAGTACATATTAGATTTGGTTAAAGTCAAACTTTGTAAACTTGGACCAAGTTTTGATAAATTTATCAGCATTTACAGAACTAAATCAATACTTTTAGATTCATTAAGAAATTTATTTTCACATGGTATATATTTGGTATTGTGAATGGTCACTTAATCTTCTATAAACTTGGTCAAAGTTTAGACAATTTGACTTTGAACAAATTTATATGCATTATAATTTGGCAAGGAGGGAATATGTGTTATGCTGGAATAATAGTCTTATTTTTTGCATGTAGAGGATATTCCTAAAAGAAAATACAAAATGATACAACGGAGGAATTTCTTACTGTTTCCGGTAAAAAAACAGTTTGTTGTCCTTCTTAACTAACAATATTCTCTTGCATGTAAACCAGAAGGCAACTAATAATATGCATTTACTTATTTTCGGTTAACACATTTTATGCCTTGTCTAATAAGTGATCACAGTACTATTTCAAATTATATGGTGTTGCTATTTGGTATCACCTCTAATGCATCACCATCATACACTTGACATGTGTGTGTATATTGATAAACTATCATTTTGGGAAAGTAAGCGGGTGGACAAACCTTGGGGTGCGCAGTGAATGGCATCTTCCATCCTCCATCAACATTCCAGCTACCCAGTGTGCCAAGACTACATAGGTCAATCTCATGGGGGTTATCATTTTCTGCTGCTGAGAAGACTCTCCCAGCATGCTCAAACACGCTGGTGTTGCTCATGTTCTTGAAAGCCTTTCCGAACCTCAACTGCTCATATGCGACATATTTCAGCATCCCATAACTACCCGAAGAAGGAAAAAAGTTGCCAATCATGTACTTACAATATTAAGGGTACCCGCTATGAGCATCGCAAGAGGGTCACCGTCGCTGGCAGGGAGGAAGCATGGTTTCTTCAGTCCTTTCTCAACCCTAAATGTATCGGATTGCACGTAGCGGTTGGTGTACTTGATCGACCATGTGTTGTTTTTGCTCTTGGTGAAGTACAAGGCGTGGAGCATGCCTTCTCCTTCGACCCAAATGTCATGGGACTTGCCAAAGATTGAGGTTGACGAGTGGAGGGCTCCAAAGAGAGGGTTTGAACCTGCATGCATGCATCCCACACCGGCATCATGACTTTTGATTCTGCTCCATGCATGCATGCATGCTTGTGATCTCTCAGTTATAGTGAGACGATAGGAGCATAGAAGGTTTACCATTTCTTATATAAACACCCTCTGGAAAATCTTCTGGAATCTCTCCCGCGATATCAAATATCTCTCGCATGTCGCCGATCTCTTTGACGGGTGCAAAATTACCTTGCAACAACGATTGAGGATTTTATTAATTCAATAGGTAGTTAAGCACTCACAAATCTTTCTAAATTTGGTCTCCTAAACATTATTCTGCAATTGTGTGATCTCCTCACTTGTTAACTGAGTGAAAGCAAAAGATGGATGTTGTAGTGTTTAGATTTTCCCGAAGAGGGTAAACCCCCCGGCCTCTGCACTGGATGCACACAACCCTACATATTTTTATTAGATACAACACTTGATGTTATCCCTAGCTACTTACCTCGGTGGGCCGTAAAGGTTGGCGACTTAACGTGAAGATGGTGCCCACAAATGCATCCAGCAGCCTTTGGGAGGCATAATTGAGAGCGTTTGATGATGCATCCCCAATTCTCAAAGCAAACTGCTGGTGAAGCTCCTTGAAACACACAAGACATAACAATATAAGCCTATATATATCTTTCGGCGCGTCCTGATCAAGTAGTGGGGTTCAGAGAGAGGCGAGAAACCTTTGCAGCCGATATGATCTGACGAGGGAGAGAAGTGGCGCTCGCGGAGACCGAGGAGGGCTGCCGTCGGCCGGCGCACATGCTTGGCTGAAGAGAGCAGCCATGGATGGAGGTCCTCATTTTTGGAGCTTGGGTCGTCCCTCTGGTGTTTGCTTGCTGCTACATACACGCATTAGCTTCCGGCCGACGTTTGTAGTTTTATACTACACCAAGCACATTCTCTGCAACGGAAATAGACCGCTTCCGCCTTGGTGGTAGACTAGGTACATGCATGGTCATCATGCGAGAAATGTCATCAGTACCAGCAATGCAGGAACGTGTAAACAGCTGCTACCCGAGGGCATGAGGACAAATGTGGTGCCGACTACTGTGGGTATGCTAAAATAATACTCTCTCCGCCCAAAATTTTTTGTCTCAAACTTGTCACTTAAATCGATGTATTTAGTACTCCTTCTGTTCCATAATATAATACGTTTTTTAATTTTAGTGTAGTGTCATAAAACGTCTTACATTATGTGACGGAGGGACTAACTTTGTGCTAAATAAATTCATTTGAGAGACAAATTTTTACGGACGGAGGGAGTGTGTTGCCGAACCTGCCGCTCTTCCACAACGTGAATGAATGAAGAGAATCAAACCATGTTGGTTTCCACGCGCAAATTGACGTCCTCAGTTGCAGCCTGCAATGAAGCTCATGCATGACGTACGGCTATGGAGATGCGTGCGTGTGCGGCCGGTCGCTGATTGGTCGGCTACCAGCTGTTTACACGTTCCTGTGCGCCATGTGAGCTGCACAATACGACTTCCGTTGGTCTCGGCCGTTTACCAGCATTATTTTTCTTGACTTCGTTGGTCTCGGCCACTTACTGTCAACCTTTTGTTTTACTTTTAAATTTCCCGTGCGTAGCCACGGAATATAAATATGTTTAAGCAAATGTTGGGCGTGACCGGCTCTCATTTAGACAAGAGTTCACAATGTCACAAACATTTGAAAACCACAAACCTTCTTTTTTTTTAAACACGAACAAATTTTGAAACTCCAAATGTTTTTTAACAAGGTAAATTTTCTAAAAGAAAAGAAAAAAAAGGAAAGAAAACCGACACTAGAAACAACAGGAAAAGAAAAGAAAAACATATCTGAAGCAGTTAAGAACCTTATGGAAGAAGGTTCTCAAAACCGGAACCAACATCCACCTTTCCTAGCTTTAAATGGGCCAGCCCAGCTTGATCGCTCCTGTGCGATTCAACAGCAGTTTGCCGCATAATGCAGCAAATAGGAAACCGCGTCTTACAACACGCAACAACCGAGTTACACACGTTCTCAAGGAGTTCCTTATTTGACGCTCATTGCCACGTTCTGTCGAGCAATCCCAGAAAAAAAAAAGAGCAAGTTCTATGGAACAGGTCCTTTACCGGTCCTTGTGTAAACATCATTTTCGGGTTCCTCTATTACACAGGGAATGCACATTTTTATTGTATATTTTGTTCTTTGGTTTTGTCAGGTTTTCATCTTCGGGGTTCTTTTCTTTACTCGTTTTTCTTTTTCGTTTTTCCTTCTCCTTTTTCCTTTTTCGTTCCTGTCCACCTTTTAAAAATTCATGACAAAATTTAAATACCAGAATAAATTTAAATGCATGATAATTTAAAAAAAATCATATAACAGTTATTTAAATATACCAAAAATATTTATAAACCAGAGAATTTATTTAAATTAGTGAATATTTTCTAAAATAAATGAATATTCTTATAATTACAGTATAGTTTTTAAGATTCAGGATATTTTAAATACAGGAATATTTTTAACAATAAACTATTTTTTAAAAATTTATGATAAATTCTGATTCATTTTTTATATTTGATCCTTTTTAAAAAAATCACGAATATTTTATGAAATTTTTAAAAAATTGATTCATGAATATATTTTAATATACAGTAAAAATTTCTAAGTTTTGTGAAGTGTAAATTATTGAACATTATTTTGAGCTTAAAATAATAATTTTCTTAATCTGTCAATGCAAATGTAGCAATCTGTTTTTTTTTCAGAGAAAACCACTTTCACTGGATCAGAAGTGGCAGAGCTTCAAAGGAAAAATTGGGTGGGCCAGCCTATGGGAGCAAACCAAAATTTTCAATTTCTCAACTTACTATAAGTTTCAGTAGGCATTAGTGGTGCATATTATCAGTTTCGTTGGTCAGATGGTAGAATTTTCAAACTATTCAAAGTGCTATAGCCAACAACCTATAGGAAAATTGGCATCGACTGATAAATGGTAATTTTGAGTGGAAATGAAACTTACATGTGATACATATGCTTGCATCGATCATGTGTGTAAAGGGGATGAGGTGTAATGATACATTTTTAAGGGGTTAAACCAAGCTTTATTACTCAAAGTCCACATGGTGTGTGATAGAGAATGGATCATGAGGAGATTCTAGTCATACATGACAGCCCTGATCTAAAGAATGAGCAAACTTGGCTAACCTATCGGCATCACTATTAGCAGCTATGCCCTCAAAAGTTATAATACGATAAAAAGCTAATAAATGTTGTCTAATCTCTATGATGATGCACCATAGCCTCCATGGCTTGCTCTCTGGATGTCGCTGACCACCTGCTTGCAGATAAAAAAATTTTACAGCATCAAATATTGAGCGAGAGATAGGCCTTCATGACATGCAATTGCCTCCAAAATCGCTGCATCTGCTATTCTATGCACTACCAGTGTTGAACTACCCACAAAATTGCTTGTGCTATCCTACAAACAGCCGCTGCCGCACCTCGGTTATGTATGTTTGACACTGCTGCATCTATATGGACTCTGCCGCGTCAGCAGACTCCGCCTCAGTCATCTCCGCCGCGTCAATAGACTCCGCTACCTCAGCCCCGACGGAAGAGAATGGATGTCGTTCCGGCGGCTAGTAGTACAACTGCGAAGAAATCCAAAGCAGGTATCATCAAGAAGGCTCCTGCCAAGTTACCATACAACATGACTGAGGAGGAAAGGAGATCGTGGTTGCCGGCGTGAAACGCCAGCTTGCACCAACCCATCCAGATCCAAAGGAGAAAATAGATCCGGTAAAAGCAAAGCGTTGTCTGGATAACCTTACGCGACCACCATCGCCTCCGCCGCTATCAGACTATGCTCGCTCTATTGTCAAATCACATAAGGC